ACGATAATAATATCCGATCTGTATTTTCTCACGGATATAACAGCTAAACTGAACAAACTCAACGAAGATCTCCAGGGGAAGAAAAGACCCTTTTTCAATTGACTGTGACTGTAACTGCTTTTCAGAGAAAGTTAAATTTGTGGATAAATCAGATGAAAGAAAAAATTTCACCCATTTTCAGAATTTATCAAACCATATTAATAACCACAAGGGAATTGAAACAGAGAAATACTCGGAAAACCTAAATGCACTGAAAAATAATTTTGAACTCCGCTTTTCTGATTTCCATATTATTCAACCAATATTATTATTCATCTCAAACCCATTTGCTGAAATTAATATTTCCGCTGTATCACATAAGATTAGAAATATGTTTAACAAAAATGTTGATGTTTTGGAAATGTGCTCGCGATAGGCCAAAGGTTGGGCACCACTGCCTTAGACCACTGGAAATTTATGTGTATTATGTTTTGCATTATTTTTAATCTGTACATATATTTTTTTCCATTTGTGACGGAAGCTTACTTTGCAATCTTGAGAGCTATTATTCGACTATGTTCAACTTTCCTTGTCAGAGATTTACTTATTCATAAAGTGAAATCAGAAGTTATAATCCGAAACATATCGACGTTCATCTTGGCATAACTGTAATTTAAAAAACCTTCTTATATCTTAACTTCAGAAGATCTTATAGTGGAAAATATCAGCACTGATTGGAAGAAAGCCCAGTCTATCAAGTTGCATTTTCGCGCTCCTACGATTCCATTCCCATCTCAAGTTGCATTTTCTTTTCCAACGATTGTATTTTAATTCTAAAAATTTACGACCGCCTGAAAGGTCTCAGTACAAATACTTCAGCTCTAGTTCTCAGCAGGTTGTTATTAACGGTGTAGACAATATATTTTAAAAAAATGCGGAGAATGTTGGAAAAGAGGCTCCGGCAAACACACCCTAAAGTTTGTACATCTAAAGAAGGAAGCTACCTCGACGAAGAAAATGTAAACAGCTCGGAAAGCATTACTGCTACCATTGCTGCAACAATATGTCATGACATATTTAAGGTGTTTTCCGAAATTAAGACATTATTTAAACAATATTTCATCACGGACATTATTAAATTCATTTCGGGAAAGCTTGGGAAAAACAAAGCTGACACAACTCAGTAGACAAAATCTTCGTGATGACAAGTATTTTTGAAGAAATATTCAGTGAAGGGAACACTAGTAGTTTAAACACCTTTGTGATGTATATCTGATGTATTTTACTTTGTAATGATATTGGTTGGCAACTGTTCCTTGCTTCGTATTTATCTGCATATTAGTATTTTTTTTTATTTAAGTAGAATACTTCTTTTATAATTCGTTATGTTTCCCTGAATCATACTTGCCTTTAATTGTGATACTTTGATTGTACGTTATCTATTAACCAGATTAACAGCGCCGCAGTTTCTTCTATCTGGAAATTTTATATTTTTTCTTTATCACCTGTTTAGGACTTTGTGCTATTACTAATTAATTTGGATTATTTTAGCATCTACAGTGCTACTTTTGGATCAAGTTCAAAAGCTTCCGCTTTTCGATGGAGGTAGACTCTCTGAGCTAGGTAGTCCGGGGTCGCAGTACTAACAAGGAAATCTTAATAATATTATTTAGTTTTCCCTTAAGTAAGCACATTGGAGCGCCCATTACAATAACAGTTAAACTTACAGTAACAAGTTATAAATATTTTGTGAAATGAGATAAAATTAATAATAGTCAATTAAGCAGAATTTTAAATTAAATTAATTACTAATTACAGCATTACACCTATAATCACCAAGCGATGTTACAAAGAGATCTTCTATAATGAAGAAGTCAGTACTTCAGTACATAGGTGCCTCCAACACACACACTCTCTCTCACACACACAAAAAAAAAAAAAAAAAAAAAAAAAAAAGTGCGGGAGGAGGGAGAAAAGTTTTCTGCACTATAATTACTAGTTTGCTTTTTTTTTTTGGCATTAGAATTTTTATTTGTGGGTGGGTCTTTGTATTTTTTTTAAAGAAATTACACTTCATAGAGGAGCAATTCAAAATTTTCGGGTGATCTGTTATAATTAAATAATTTAGAATGGTTCATCAGCTAATTTTGGATAATTGAAACACAGTGATTTTTTAAAGGGGAAGGAGGTTCAATTGAGCCTTATGTACACTGCGCAATAAACAAATAAATAAATAAAAATAAAAAAAAAAATCTGAAAGGTTTCAGGTTTTAAATTACATCCAAAGGGGCGTTTGTTAACGTCTTGTGTGTAACCTTTCTTTATTAGATATCATGTTCATTGCAGTTAAACCACAAAATTCAGTTCAGTAGCAATGTCGCAAAATAATTTAAAATGAACGTATCTTTAAAATTTCCGATACACATTTCCGCTGCCTGAAGATAAAAAGGTTTTTTTCCTGTAGAGCGTTGCCATTGCTCGCTTTGAAATCCTTGAGTTTGCTAATCAAAAATTCGTTAAAGTTTTACAAAATATGAAATCGATAATAAAACAAATTTCAAATTTCAAATTTGGTCTTCTACATGCCCATATTCGTAGGAGGATTACGTCATTCAAAATTCGATGGCTCTATGTACCGTTGTTTTTTATCACAACGTGAGAAATATACATACGTTTATGCAGATTTTTCGTTATTTAATTTCTTCAAATATAATGCAGGACTCCAACATTTGGTGGCAGCAGTTTGAAAAGTGAAACGGACATTTATAGTGATTCAACGCAAAATCGCAAAACAAAAACAAAAGGACTCTAACATTTGGTGGCAACAGTTTGAAAAGTGAAACGGACATTTATAGCGATTCAACGCAAAATCGCAAAACGAAAACAATAGTCCTTGATGAACAAAGCCCCTTTGGAATAGAAAAAGGTGTTATTTCTACATCTCCTGTTCTACTGGGCCTCTTGACGAAATTCATATTGCGTTTTTCATGTCTCGAAAGCGTGACTTAGGATGTATGTTAGATTTATATAAAGCATTATTTTAATTTAGGTATTTTGACACAACATCGAGCTTTTTCTGAAATGGCATGCCAAATATTTCCCATATTTTGATTCTACGACTCAACTTATTCCTAAATACTAAATTTTGTAAAATTTGCTGTGAAATTTACGAAGAAGTTCAAAAATTTAACTTGGCGCAATTTTTCAGTTTGCGCCAAGAATAATTCACTCGGCAGACTTTAATTTACAGTATCCTATTTTCCTTTTCTTTTTTTCATTGCAGACGAGCGGAAAAAAAAGTTATCCTTCGTACTTTCAAATAATTTTAATATGGTGCGTAAACCACATTTGGCGTTATTGTCGCTTATAACAAATATCACATATTTCAAAACGCGCCGATATATAAATTCACGTATATCTTAGTAAATTTTGAATAAGAAACTCTAATTTTTTGCAGATGAGCCAAGATATACATCTACTTTAGATAATGGTTTAAAAATTTTTACAGGTTACAATTCAAAATTTATAAAAATAATTTAAAAATACAAATTTTAAAAATAAATCATAAAAAACGGGTGAATTTTTATTTCGAATGAACCTAAATTTCGAAATGTGAAAGAAAGAATAAAATAAGTTTAATAAAAAAAGATATATTAACAAATATATACCAAATTCAATTAACATTGAAGAGATAAAATTTTGAGATCTAATTTTTTAAAAAGTACTCTCGCGATTTTTACAAAATTCGGCAGTTTGGCAAAATTTGAATCGTAGAATCAAAATATGAAAAAAAAAATTGGCATGCCATTGCAGAAAAAGTCCGCTTTTGTGTCAAAATACCTATATTAGAACAATGCTATATATAAATCTAATACGCATCCCAAGTCGTGCTTTCGAGACATGAAAAACACAAGTTGAATTTCGCCAATCGGACCACTAGAACGATATAGAACTATCCCTTCTTTTTCCGCAGTGTACTTCCTCTTGATAACTTTATATCAGATTTGACCGCGTCCCTCTTCTTATATATTTATTTTTGGTGGTTTGGGCATTTTTGGGGTTTTAGTATTCTACATTTCTTTAATTCTTCTGACTTTTGGTGTATTTTATGTATTTATAGGGAATCTGGCAATTTAATGGTAATGAATTTCACTTCTAGGTAATTTGGAAATTTGATGGTATTGAATTTCATTTCTAGGGAATTTGGAAACTTAATGGAATTGAATTTCACTTCTTTTGCGTCTTTGTGAAATTGGTTCTAAATTTTTCACTTGTTGTCTATAGTGATTAATTTTCAGCAACATATTGCCCGGGAATAACTTGGAATAATTTTGGTTTTATATAAAAATTTGTGATATTGTATATACTCGTATATCCAAATATTTTCGTGAGATTTGTTTATAAGCACCAGTAAAAGATTTCAAATGAATAAATAAACACTCTTCAGGATTTTGGCTCTAAACACTTTTCCCCCAGTCTTTCAGTCTTTTTTCATAGATTAAAATATGATTTTTATAAGAGCAATGCATTAAAAAAAAGTATGTAAATATAGAACTATTTTATTTCATCATGTTATATAAAATTTCGTATGGTTAAAAAGTACATATTCTTAATGCGTTTATTAATGTGTTACGTTTAATAAATATATGTAAATAAACATCGCTAATAGTTTGATTGCAATTACATAAGGCCTGCGTTTTTTCCCCCCTCCCAATCTTCTTAGGCAACCAGATTAAAACCTCACTGCAGCTAGTTGTTTCTGCCTTTTAGAGATAACAAATCTCTTTTGAAAGTGCTAAATTTCCTTAATTGAGAATTCTTGATTTAAAGGGCGCGCTAATTTAACTTATTAAGGTGCATATAATAAAAAAAAATTTAAAAACTGTTGTTTCCAAATATCCTTTTTGAATTTATTATATCCAAGTATTGCACGTTTAGGTTGCCTATAAAGTTCAGTAAAAGCTTCATCAAAGCAATGCATGAATAATATTTTATTAAATGTTTAAAAAAAGTTGTCTTACCTTTACCATCCTCTCCGATAGGAGAAGTGTACACGGTGACCTTGTATCCAAAAGTCTTTTTCACTGGATTATGACCCATAATGCCTTCTTTTAAGGCCTTAATATGCTCAGATATGGAGTTATTTTGAGGGGTTTTATAAACATCGGTATCCGAACGAGATACAGTAGAGCCATTAGTTGGAGGAGCTGCTAGCCGAATTTTTTCCAGATCCTTCAAACGGTCATTACGGAAAGCATCTAGAGATTCTAAAATATTGCTCAGCATTTGAACAGTCCCTTGATCTAGAGTAGGTGTTTTAGTTGTGTTGGTCTCTGCGGTAGTCTTTGCGATGGAATATGGCAGCCATAGCCACACCTAGGAAATAAAAAAGCGAAAATAAAATTATGACTTTGAATTTCATTTCCATCCAGAAGCTTTTTTTTTCCTATTTCATCAAATGCACATTTTGACTCATATTTTACAACATTTTGAAAACGAACATTTTTTCACATTTTGACTCACAAGTTAAAATCAAATATCTTAAGATAGTTTCTTTAAATTTTATGGCAATAGAAAACATATTTATTTAGTTTTGTTTCGTGGCACGGTATTTAAACACTCTTCAGGATTTAAATACCGTGTCACGAAATTATCATTAAGTACCTTCCTTGCGCAGAATCATTAAGTACCTTCCTTGCGAAGAATACTAAGCTCAGGGTGCAGCCTACGGCGTTTTATATACAAGTTTAAATACGTTTCTCTTTAAATACGTTTCTCTAATACATCTTAAAGATGTCGATTTGCAATGTCGTCTTAATATGTAAGACCATGTTACATTTGGACCAAAACGATCGTTAATTATCTGCATTGTAAATTGTTTGGCATTGACAAACTTTCATTTCTGCCAAATTCAATCATTTGAAAAATATTAGAACTTTCCAGTAATCTTTCCAGTGTGTCTTTAACAATATTCAAGAAACTGTAATGCTTCTGACTACTTTATCTATGCTTAACTTTGTTGAATTATGTAGCGACTTATCGCTGAGTCCAAATGTGTAAATGACAAAGTCCAGAGAAGGGTTAAACTCACATTTCATTATCTCAGACTGAGAATACATATGGCCCCTTTCTCAGGCTTACAGAAAAAACTCCATTTGGGCTTTAAATCAAGATAAGAAAATAAGAAACTAATCTAATGATAAAATGTACTGAACTGAACTTACCCGAAGCTGTGCAAAATTATTTAACGTTAACCTTTATTAAATTAACCGGCGAATATCAGCAGGCATGTAAAATACGGTCGAGCGTAGTTAGCTTTAAGCAACGAAGTAGCCTGACAGCAAACACACACCACTAAGGACCCCTAAGCTCTTTTCTTAAAGTAAGCGAAACCTTCCTTTAAATACTCTTTCTACCCCATTGACATGTAACGCGATACTAAAAACTTATTCTCGCAAAAAATAGTAGGTGGGAAACATGAATAGAGAGAAAAGCATGTTTAAAAATTAAAATAACTGTTAGAAACTTAAAAAAACCGCTACAAAAACACATCACTGCAAGCGAAAGAAGAGTGTATAAAATTACGAATTTATGACAATTTACTGTTACAACTAAAGAGTAACACTATCAGAAGTGCGAATGATATCTCAAGTACCATGCAAAAAAAGAAGAGTCATTCACATATTTCATCTTATAAATTTGCTAACAAAAACAAACATAGAAGATTTCAATAGCTTCGGTAAAGGTTTTTTGTTTTCATATACAATGAGCTTCATTATAACGGCATTTAAAATATATGATCTTATTTGCATGAAATAAAATTTTCAAATCAAAATCAGAAGACTTGTCAATCATTTTGTAGACACGTAAAGGAATGACCAAGCTTAAATATGAATACATCTTAAAAATTCAAAGATAATATAAACAAATAATATTGTTTATTCGCAAACGACATTTATAAGGCTCAGTTATCAATGAGGTAGTAATTGTAAGACTCCTTAAATTCCTAAAACTCCCTATTTGTACTCTACTACATTTCCTTAAAGATGTCTAAAAAACACTAGAATTCCCTATAATTAATCCTATTACGGTGCTACTAACTTTTCAAGTCGTCTTTCTTTTTAGGGCAACATAAAGAAAATAATCCTAAAAAAGTTATTTTATAAATACAGTAGTGCCAGTTGACTATATTCAAGGTTAAATGACCTATTGCTGCATCTTCCTTCAATGAAGTGTACGTAGTGTTTTACACGAGGAACTAGCATAATTGAAAATATTTTTTTAAAATTCTTTCTCTCAGTTTTTTAACAAAGAATATAGTTGTTAAACAGTCGCACAATGCTGGGCATTTTGCTATGCATGATAAATTTCAGGTAAAAGATAATGTAAACTCATTGTAGCATTGTTAATTTTGCATAAAAAATTGAGACGTTGGTAACAACTTACAAGCAGAAACACACACACACAACACTTACTAACTCCTTGATTGAAATGGGAATATAATGAAATAAGTTAAAGAAATAATGCTTAGAAACAGATAAAGAGGACTACGTTAAAGGTTCTTCAATAATAATTTTAAAGTAGCAAATTGTAAATATTCTATGCAGTCGCAATATCCGAAAGCTTAAAAAAAATCTGAGAGGTTTCAGATTTTAAAGGTCGTCCAAAAGGGCATGTTAAGGTTTTTTATTCTCTCGATGAGCCTCCAGTATGACAATTTGCTGTAACACTCACTCCCACTAAGCCTTTTTTTAATCTTTTTAACTTTATTACTAAGCATAATTGTCTTCGCACTTATACCATACACAATTCAAGAGCAAAATAACAAAACTTTTAAAAGCTCCATAGCAGTACACGTTTAGAATTCCCGATGCAGCGTTGGCGTACATTTTTTTTTTCTTTTCAATCTTTTCTGTTTATCACATCAGTTCGATTCAACAGCAAAATCACAAAATATTTAAAAACAGCATATCTTTAGAATTTCCGACAGTCTCGTACGCTGGAGATAAAAATATTTTTCCATACAGTGCTGTTTGAAGTCGTTGTTAATCAAAAATAAAATTAAAAGTTTTACAAAATATAAATAGATATTAAAGCAAATTCGAAATTCAAAATTCTGGCGTCCAGTTGTCCCCATTCAAGTGGAGATTTACGTTATTCAAAGTTTGATGGCTCTAGATACCGTTGTTTTTTCTCAGTGCGAGAAACATGATTACGTTCATGTAGATTCTTCATCGTTTAATTTATTTAAATATAATGAAGAGCGATAATATTTGGTAGCAACAATTTGAAAAGTGATTCAAAGCTTTTAGTAATTCAACCCAAAATGCCGTTTCGAGACTAATAGCCCCTTTGGTCCAACGTTCCTTTGGGCTTTGTTTTTAAAAAAAATCTGATGTGTACACCACATGACTTCCTTGTACGGAATATTAAATTATACGCATTTGTTTCTTGCATTTCTTTTAAACTTATTGGATTTAATTAAATCTACTTCGCCGACAGCGCATAAACCACAATAGAATAAAGGCATTCTTTAAAATTCACTCTATTTGTATAACATAGCGACGCTATGGCACTAGGTTCACTTAACAGTATTATATTTCATTCATATTATAACTCAGAATGCACAAAATGTATATCATTTAAAGAATTATCTAATCGTTGCCACATGTTCTTTTAAATACTATAATAAAGCTAGAACGATGTAAAAAGAAATTAAGCAAACAAAAAAAAAAGAAATAGTTTTTCACAGACGATTGAGTATTTCTCATTCAATTAATTCAGTTTTCACTTCGCTACAAGACAAAATACATAAAAGCTCAAAATATCTGTATTAAAAATTACTAATTATTAAAATTAAATTACTAATTATTAAAAATTAAATTACTAATTATTAAAAATTAAGTAAATCTTAAACACTTAATTCCTCGAAAAAATTCCAGAAAGGATTAAGCATGATTTAATTCGCAATAATAAATGAAGGCGTTATTTTTGTTGTTGCGAAGCTTAGTCTCTCTAGGTTGGCAACAAATCTACAATTCTGCTGTTCCAAATGTAAGCAAATATGTCAGCCATGTTATTTAAAACTTAACCGCACTTAAACAGCTTTTAAATTGTTGATAATTGTACAAATATTGCTTCCAGAATTACGAAAGGCATAAAAACCTTAACCGGAAGATAAGAACACAATAATTCAATCATTTTTAAAGCAAAAAATGTCACATTTACAAACATATAAGAATAAAGAAACTGAGATCACTGTGCCGAGTAACAAAGTGCATATATATATATATAAATATAGTATTTATATACGTTCGGTGCGGCCGATTGCAACCAACATACAAGGTGCACATCTACATGTTATAGCAGTCCTATATACAAAATTTCAACGTCCTGAGGCTACTCGTTTTTGAGTTATGCGAGATACGTACATACGCACGCACGTACGTACATACGTCCGTACAGACGCCAAGAAAAATTCTCTTCAGAATCAATTTTAAAGCAGTTTTATAATTTTTTTTGGAGGAAACGAGTCTTTTATTTTGTCCTTACGTACAGATATCACGCAAAAACATCGTTAAATTGCATTCGATAGCGGTCAAAATGGATATTTTCGTTGAAATATGCTGCCTGAACCTTTTCGCGATTACAATACTTCCTTTTTACTTCGTACAAGGAAGTAAAAAGGAAAGAAAGAAAACTTTAGTCGCATTCAGTGCTTTAGCATGATAATTCATGGCATCATTGTAGTCTCTAGATGTCTTCAACTATAGTTGTTGAAGCGAGCAGCAAGCTGCAACTTCTTCTTGCAACAAGTAAAAGGAAATAGTACTTGCATACACCTCCTAATGTAATATCGTTCTCTTTTTAACAGATGAGGATGTACTATTCATCTCTTCTTTGTCGTACACATAATTGCTTTCGTTTTATACAGAATAACTCTGCGAGGTGCAAATTTCTATTTTTTATCATCATATACACAATGCACAAGAAAAAAATGGGACAGTTCTGTATCTTCCGTTCTACTGGGCCGATTTCAGAAATGGCATAACAGTTTTCTGCCATATTTCGATTCTACGGCTCAAATTATGCCTAAATATTAAATTTTATAAATTTGGGGAAGACTTATCGAGAAATTTAAAGATTTATCTTGGCGGAATTTGAAAAACGTGCGCCAAGAATAATTCCTTTGCCTAACCCATAAAAATTCTAGCCTTGTAGGCCTTTGCATTAATCAAGCCCTGCTTGCCAAAGCTCTAAAAATTAATAGAAAAACTTCCATTAAATTCCACTAAAAATTAGTAGAAATCAGTGGAAAAGTTTTCCACTTTATTAACAAATTCAAGCTTCTTTGCTTCATCAACATATTCGAGACT